TTTACTTGAAATAGGTGGTCTGGTTAAAGATAGTCTTCCACAATATGCAACTTCAGAAACAATAAGTTGAAATGGCCGTAAAGAGCCCAACATCTCTCAAACAAATAAAATCAATTCAAGGAATATTAAACCAATAAAAACCAGTATATTCAGTATGTTAGAGTCATCTATAGCCACCCATAGCCAAATGCTTGTTCTGAGGGTCCAGTTTTATTGAAAATCATGTGGTGACTTTAAACATCTTTTGTGTTGTTTATTTTGCGTTATGCATTCAGTGATGACGTAGTCTTTGTGTCATTGCCCCATATCTATAGCAACACGCAGTTTTGATATTAATTTTGTTGATATGCTCTGATATTATAACCATATTGAATGTCCATCTACAATTATTATATTCAGAGAAAGATCTTTGGGTACTTAGACACACTAAATGTATATAAGTACCCAATGATATTTTTCTGAAAACATGATAATGATTCTAAGTATTTTACCTGCATTGGGTCATCATTGTAGAAGCTTTTGCCGTTACATGTTTTAACTTTTCTTCGGTTCTCATTCTGCAATAAATTGAAACAAACATGACAATTCAAATATGCTTTTTGTGGATGATGCTTCTAATGTACAAAGCATATAGCATAAAGCATATTTAAATAAGCACTTGGAGTATTCCATAGCAATATATAGTCCTTTACGGTTGAAAATACATTGCATTGAAACAAAATGCCAAAAAAAACTTACATGTATTTTCTAAGTCTAAGAACCATTCCTTTGCAAACAAATCATCTGAACGGAACAAAATTCAAACTTGATCAGTACCTGGTCATGATAAAACTATATACCAAATATCAAATCAATATCTTCAAGCACGAAGAACAAAAACAGACAGACAGACAGACAGAGTGCAAACCTGAAGTCACCTTCGATTTCGTCACTAGGGGACTCAAAACAATAAGACAATTTATGTATACTGTCATATAAAATAAAACTTAGTTATGCCAGCTTTAGCAATGGAAGAGTTGCTAGCCAAGAAATATCATCCCACTGAACTGGTCCCTTTTTTGTACTTCTGCTTATTATGATGTTGGTACCAGAAAAACTTCATATGTTTACTGTACAATGTTTATAACTATAACTTTATACCACAGTAAATGGGTTGATTGCAGTAAAAAATCTTTTTTTTCCTGACATTTGTTTTGTTTCTGTGTAATCATTCATCCAGTTTGACCTATTTTTATTGCGTTTGTACGATTAAAACTATACCATTACCACTATGTTGCTAGTTCCTCAATCAGCAATTTAATTCCAAATGAACAAATGCACCTTTTCATCAAATTTCAATCTAAGGGGATAGAGCGATGACATTTTGTGACGGACAGACAGCACAAAAATGAAAATGCAATGACAATGGTGCGGAAGGATGGAAAGACGGAAGGATGAAAAGACTGACGCTCAAAGGTAACACTTAATGCCGCCGTCGCCTATGACAGGAACCTAAAAATGTAGTATGTTGACATCACAGTAAGTATAATATAGTAACCAATCCCACCGGTACCTCAACATTTTTTTAAAAATGTAAATGCCTTAATGTTTAGAATAATAGTTAACCTGCAATCCCACCATTTTCAACTTAATGATTGGGAAGGATAAACTAGGTCGTATTAGGTCAATGACCTAATAAAAATCCTAACACCTTTTGACGCTTGAGAACACCGGTCGTAGTTAGAATACCAGTCACCCCACGACATTTCTGGTGTTTGAAGCCATGCATTTCAATTGCAATTTCAATTATCTTAACCCAAAGTAGTTATTTTATCATTGCATTATATATATAGTTCAACCCCGCCACATTCTGTATGTGCCTGTCCCAAGTCAGGAGCCTGTAATTCAGTGGTTGTCATGTGTTGCTGTATGACATATTTGTTTTTCATTCACTAATTTGAAAAAAATTAGGCCGTTAGTTTTCTCGTTTGAATTGTTTTACATTTGTCATTTTTGGGTCTTTTGCCTATGCGATATGAGCTTTGCTCATGTTGAAGGCAGTATGGTGACATATAGTTGTTAATGTCTGTGTCATTTGGTCTCCTGTGGAGAGTTGTTTCATTGGCAATCATACCACATCTTCTAATTTTGATAATCATATCAAATGTATTTTTGCTCGCTACCAAAAAATTAAATTTTATAAAGGCTTGCCTTTTCTCTTGACCTCGTGTTTCTATTTTCATTTTATCTTATTAGTTGGAAATAATAAATTATATACACATATGAATATCAGGCCAATATAAACACATTTGTGTCCTGCGTCCTATCCGAACAAAATAGGGAAGGTAGGTACATGTATATATCAACAGTATATTATTAGTCTATTATTTGTTCTTGAATTTTAAACCGCAAATGTCTGGACTTATTCTATGCAGAAATTGTCATAATAAAATTGAATCCAATTCTGTGATGAATCATGTGCACGATTGATAAAAAATAATCTATGTTCCTCTGTTTCAATTTATATGCATTTATTCTAGGGTAGACAGACAGACTGGGAACATATTTATATGTTGATTGCCATTGCAACCAAATCAGAAAAAGGCCAAATAAAATAATATGTGTGGCTCCTATCACTTCTTGAATAAAAATAGGGATAAATGAAGTCAATTGAAGAGACATTCTGACATAAACAGTGCCTATTGTAAAATACCATATGAATGTTGAGTGCACGCTATTTTTAATTTAGCCTAAAAATAGGATAGATAGTGATCGAAATATGAGCAAAACGTATTTTTTATATTTAGCATATTTTAATACACTAACCTTAACCCTATGTTTTGTAATAAGGATAATTACACTTGCAAGTCCCAATAGAAATAACAATGCCAATTTTATTCCTGATAGTGATCACATTTGCCAAAGTCAGTTGCCTTTTCTTCTCCCTTGTATTCTTGGACCTGAACTTGGTATGTCTGAAGTTGTAATGTCTGGGTGAGTACTTACTATTGGTGGTATCTTACAGAAAACCCGCTTTCTTCTGTTGACATTTCTCTCAAGGAGATGGCAAAGAGTCCGGTACATATCTTATATACGGTGCTGCATATATTTTCTGGGAAAATACCACATTCAGTTAAGATTGTAACTTAATCCCTCTCACTGCAATCACTCAAATAAAATGTGTCATCTTAGCACTGAACCTGGCTTATTACATAATTGAACTGGCAAGTCATATTATCTCTTCATTCCGTCATGAAACAACTACAGCATTGTAGCATAGTATCCATCAAAAGTCATCTGCAGATGTTCTAGTTTTTTCACCTACCTCCTATTTAGGTGAACTACACCCTGGGTAGATAGAGAGATAACCCTTGCCCAAAAAGGAAAATTCAAAGCTATCAAGTGCTGCAAGCATGACCAGAACAGACTATACTAAATCTCCTTGTTTTTATATAATATTTTGGTATATTAGAAAAAGATGAAACGGGCTTCTATGTGTAGTGTAGGAAAATACTTGTCAAATGTGGGTTTCCCTTTTTCTAAAAATAGATTCCTAGAAGGCATATTGACAGATTTTATTTTTTCAAATATCTTTGTTGTATCATAAATACCCATCCCGATTTTTTGTTAAAAAAAACAAATACATTCCAAATAAAAGCATATTAAAATTTCTGAAAAATTGTACACTGCGTTTTGAAATGATAAGATGGTTAAATTGATGATAATTTGGTTCATTTACACCTGTTCAGTTGTAAAAAAAGGCTGAAACGCAATTATTTTGTCAAAAATATTGAACATGAGATTGAAATCAGATATTTTTATAGGTATGAATCATTGTTTGATGTAAAAAATAAAAAGCAATTCAATGTAAAATGCAGAAAAAAACAAAATTGATAAACTATGTAATTAAATAGAAAAATTTCATATTTTTTCCTAACAAGGCCGTTGTCAAGGAAACAAAAACAATTTTTTTCAAAATAAAAGTAATTTTTTTACATTGTTCGGGTGGACCTTTAATGTGACCAAATATTTAAAAAATTCATGGCACACCATTTCCACCCAACTTTGATGCTTACAGAGAATATCCAGTCTTAATCATTCATATAAGTACTTGTTAGTTTTACTCTGGATTTAGTTCTAAATTAAGGCGACAATAGTTAACTGATGATCAGTTCTCGTTAATCGATTAGGAATAGAGAAATAAAGCTCACAAACAAAAGTTTACGGAATTGCATGCACTTTAAAATGAGCGATACCGGTTGCATCGACAAGATAATCATCTCCTGCTATGCACGCATCTTCCGCCATGCGAATTCACACTCAGTCAAAATTTTAAAAAGTAGGGAATATGTCACATCGTATCAGTTATTCGTGATGGTTACTGAAAACTTGCGAAGTGTTGAGTTTAGTCGTTCATCCTATTCATAACTCTGTTTTGAAGTAGCACACACCTGTTCAGGACGTCTGTATAGTCCGATCATGCACGAGCGTACGATGGAGCAGAGTGAATGTTACTGCTGAGAAATGGAAAGTTGACTACTTGAAAGTTGAAATTATCATGTTTGTTCTGACCTTCTACTTTCGATAGTGTCCTTAATTTAAAGTTCACTGGGATATATGAGATGTAAACACCCATTGAAACGAACAATCCAGTAATACCGAGATGTCAACAAGAAGAAATATTGCCACCAACTCTTGGAAAAAAATTGAAAACAACACGTTTAATAATTTCATGCGTCCGAAGCGCTTTTCTGGAACTGTTTCTGCTGTCGATTACTGCATTAGTATGATTTCCTTTGAGCTATTACTACGGAATGAATATACATGGTCTCATAAGCAAAAACGTTATACATCGAGATTTGCCTCCTATTTATTTAAAGGGCATCAGAGAAATAAATACGTTTAAAATCATGCATGTTATTATTTGTCAATAAAGATTGAAGGTATATAAGGTTGCACATGCAAAATTGTCAGATATAATAGCTGTTGACATTAATTTGATTTGATTTATTTAATTACAGATAATGATGAATATTTTAATCCAATTTGCAGTGTTCATGAATTTATTTGGTCGAATAGATACTCGGTATGTATTTAATAATATATTATTAATAGTATTTACGTGCACGTGTTTTTTTTTGTGTCAATATAATTAAATTAAATTCAATGTTTCATTTAAGTCTCATATCTCTATAATATACAGTATAATATTACTTAAGGTGTACAATATAGATGGGCAAAGCCGCATTTGTTAAAATTTTCTGGAATTTTCATTTTCATTTTTCAATGCTCTTCAACTTCATGATTGATTTGACCTTCCAATTTGTTTTGTTCGAGCGCCATTGGTGAGTTTTATGCAGACAAAGCGGGCGTCTGGCGTAGCAAATTATAAGCTCGGCATATTTGATGAGGTTGTTTAAACAGCTATGGATTATATTAATATCTGTGAACAAAACACTTATTTATGTTTATCCATAACGTTGCATAAAAGCAAATGCAAGAAACAATTATAAAGTAAGAATTGAATATGAATGTGAAACAAAAAAAAGACGTAAACTATGAGTGTCTCAACTAAGTACTATACATATTTGTATTTGGAAAAAGATACTATAAAGGGATATCGTGACGATGGCAAAATGAATTGGTACTTGCAGTTCTCCATAGGGATAAATATAATCTAGACTGGGAGGACAAAAAAGCAAAGGCAGAGCAGAGCTGAGCAGGCCTGCAATGAAACAGGATGACGAATCTAGACAAAAAGCGCGTTTCGTCGTCAGAAGACTCACCATTGGATCTCAAATATAACCAGTGGGAAAGTCAAAAAAGAAGTAACGAAGTCAAGAAGTATTTAAAACGTTGTACACGACATATATAAAGTGATATTCTCGTTGAAAAGTATAGAAACACAAAAACCCAAAATAGTTGCGCTTAATCTGGTTTATGCCATCTATTTCTGGCGGTAGACGAATTTTAGTGATTTGAATGATTTAAAATTTTTATGAACAGAAAAGGACCAAATCAATGATAATTTATGTCAGAACAGGTGTTTATAAAACGGGGCAGGTGATACCCTCGCTAACAAAACGTCCACAACCATTGGAATTTACCAATTTGTTTCTAAAACTCAAATATATATTGGTCCATCTGAGTACGCCATTAGCGCATTTTGTCTACACAAGACTCATAAGTGACACCCAAGTCAAAACAGTTGGAAACCAAATCAAATTCGGTCTTGGAAAGCATTGAAAACGATAAAATCTAAATGTTGACACAAATCTGGCTATAACCATTTATGCCTTGAGGTAGGGAAACTTGAGTATTTTAAATAATGTTCATCTGCACAGGACTTTTATCTTTTAAAGAAATTATAGTGCATTGAAAACCCAAAAATCTTAAATATTTATAGGGGTAGAAAAAACGTATTGTATCGATAGATTTTCAGAAAATGACCATTTAAGGATATTTCATGTTAGCACCGGTATCCTGACTCTGCGCTGTTGATACTCTCAACTCGGTGGTTGTAAAACCTCATCAAAGATACCAGACTCATGTTTAATTATGCCAGACACGCGAAAGACAAGTGAGACGAATTAGAAAGTGTCTTCGACATAGTGGACATTTATCATAAAGAACCAAGATTTAGAAAAGTTTTCCAAAATGAGCCGCGTAACTACCTTGGGTACGTTGTCTGAATAGTTAAAGAAGAAGTGTTTGAAGTAACAACTGGTCTCCCAGGTCGAGATAATAAATACAAATCTGCTGACTTGGTAAAATATATTGTTTATCCTTACTTCAGATTACATGGCACAATTATCAACGAGTCATCGGAAGTAGACACGAAAGTTGTGTTTATATAACAAAAGTTATACAACCTTTACAAACTAACAGCGCAAGGATAATAAATGATCGTTCGAAAACATCGAATCAGTACGAGTAATTTGTTCCACTAACACAGCATTTTGTAAGGAAAAAGGGAATCATCAGTGCAAAGAATAAATTGAGAATGGATCAAGATATACATCGAACTAGACACAAATCTTCAATCCAAGGCAAAGATCGCATGGGACAATAAGATAGTCAAACTCATGGACGACTCGTTATTCAGTAAGACCATGGAAGTATTATATTGACAGGAACTCCAACGAAAAATTAGCACATTCGCATCCCACTGATTTCTTTAGGAAAATAAAAGGTTCCGACTCAGTTTTTCAAGTACGTGATAACTCCTTTGTGAGGTATCTGCGATGCCGCCTTCGCCTGTATAGTTTACAGAAACTGATCTTATCACATGATCTGTTATCGAAGGTCTTATCTACCTACCAATGTAAATTAACACGGAAACTCCCGTGGCTAATTGCGAATCGCTACATGAATAACGACACCTGTTTCTGTTCAATAATTAAAGACTACAACTGAAACAATCTAAAAAATCGGTCCATATTTAACAGAATGACAAAAGAAAGTTAACTGTATTCGGAAAGAAGGTAATATTATTTTTAGTTTTGTTTGATATGTTTTTATCACTGGAACTAGGAAATCGGGAAATATCCGGTTATGAAAATTACATGACTCTGAAGTAGAGTGTTTGCAGAAAATAATGTGATGCGCGTGTAGTGTGCCGGATGGTGCCGGATAACTCAAATTTTGAAAACTTTAATCGAGTGTAACACAAATATTTATGGTTTTCTCTATCGTAAAATATCGTAAAATGTAATTTAACATATTTATAGAAAATGTTTTAAACACTAAGAGAGGTGGATAATTATACGCACGTGATGGCCTCTTCATATAGCATGTATCAGGTTATAACACCGATTACATGTACACCTTTTGAATAAATTCAAAAGTTTAAAACAACCTTCAACCTAGTCCGAGATTGCTCTGACGTCTGACGGACTTGTTTTGGGAAAAAATGGCTTAATTTTAAATATTTCGATGCATTTAAAGAACTATCATAATGCTGGGTCCTAAGCAGTATATTCTTAAAATTTTATCATTAGAATTAACCAGTTTAGAATTAAATGTATTTGTAAAGGCTTAACATATCTGAAACATCTTGCAGCGTTTATTTAGAAATTTATAATATTTTGTTTTTGTTGAAATGCATGAAATATTTGAAATCGGACTTTCAGTAACTAATGCGACAAGATATTTGTCAAAGTTAGCAGTAAACCTCAATTATACATGCAGATTACAACTCATGATGTGTTTCCTTACACAAGAAATTTATTAGAATTCAATATAAAAATTAGAAGATGTGATATGATTGCCAATGAGACTACTCTCCACCAGAGACCAAATGACATAGAAGTTTACAACTATAGGTCACCGTACAGCCTTTATCTTTTCTATTGAACAAGTTTCAGATTTACAAAAGCAATAAAACTCTTCAATGTCTTCACCGATAATTTTTTCAAATTCTTCATCATCAAAATCGTGCACGTCCATACTGATTAGTGAAATATTTGTAAGTGACGATAGTTTATTAACATAGAAAACCTAGTAAAAAACTGTCAACTGCCAAATATTGGCATGGTCGTTAAATGTCATATCCTTGACATTTATGTATACATCCGGTTACTTCGGTAAATTCCGTAATTACGAGTATCCCGAAAACGTTGTTGAACCCATGCATCGATACGACTAATTGAAAGATGTCAAGTTAATCAACAGATACTTAACGATTTTGCGGCATCGCACTATAAACGTTTGAAATCGGTTTGTTGGAGTTCCTGTCAATATAATACTTCCATGGTAAGACAATGAAGAATATCTGGAAGAAGGAAGACATGGAATTTTTGATGACAAAAAAGCAGACATTAAAGCTTGTGTCAATGCCAAAGAGAAAAATCTGTTTAGAGACATGTAGGAAAAAGATGAAGCTGAAGTTTGATAAGTCGGTCTACCTGGGAAGTTGCATCTCGGATCTATTGAAGACCTTTATGTACGTATGTCTTCTACAAGTTCATGTGGACTTCTCAGCTCCTGCTTATGTACAAGGATAGCTGTGATAGTCTCTGAGATTCTGACAGAGGACATCTACAATTTTGTCACAAAAAAAACTTATTATGGGAACGCTAGCAATAACTAACTAACAGACATGTGCAATAGATCGCCGATCTGTTATAGATTGGTAAAGGATGTATGACATTTAAACACATTCAAAAACAAGTGAGAACGAATGTGTTATTTGGACAGTTTAAATCTAAATGTGTAAAAAATGATATAGTCCATACTATTCTCATCCCTGATTGGGTAAATACTTGTTGATGAAAACAATATTATGATCAGGTCAAAGATATTGAAATTTGCATACTGTTCTTAGGGAATCTGCAAAGAAAAGGATATTAACTGTTTGGCATTTAATTATAAAAAGTTAAATAACAAAAACTCCAAGGAAAATTCAAAACGAAAAGTCCCTTAACAAGTGGCAAAACCAAAAGCTAAAACACATCAAACGAGTGAAAAACAAATGTCATATTCCTGATTTGGTACCGGCATTTCCTTATGTAGAAAAAAGTAGAATAACAATAATACCGAACTACAAGGCAAATTCAAAACGGAAAGTTCTTTATAAAATGGCAAAATTAAAAACTCAAACACTTCTAACGAATGGAAAGCAACTGTCATATTTCTGACTTAGTACAGGTATTTCCAATGGTGGTTTGAACCTGGTTTAATAGTTACTGTGGATTCATTATTATTCGTTGGATACCAATTTTCGTGGATTTCGTGGGTACAGGTTAACTACGAATTTAGATGTTCAACGAAGTGTAAGTTTTAATTGGCTTATATGCAGACTTGAGTAAAACCACGAAATCAAATATCAACGAAAATACAGGCATTCCTCAATCCACGAAATTTGGTAACCACGAAAATGAACCCACAGTAGCTAAACCTCTATATGATAGTCGCAAAAAGTTTCATTATCAGTAGCATTTGATATTGCACCATACGTTTAATCTGAATAGAAAGAATTGAAACTTTAAAAACTAGAGATTATGCCCCAAAAATTCAAACACCATTTGTTTTATTTCTGCACATAGCGTAACTTATCATTGGGACTATAAAAACAAATCAGCAAACCTATTAAATTCCTATATATAACGTAAGCTATCATACGGGGATCAATTACTTTACAACATTTCACGAGTTACTGGATATTCACACCAATTTCCCGTGAATTTAAATTCATGTGAATCTAACCTCAAACGAGCTTATACGTCGAATTCACGTGAAATCAGTTCATGTGAGTTTCATGTGAAGCTCATGTAAAACCAGCGTGAAATTTACGTGAAAATCACGTGAATTTCTAAAATTAAGTAATTCAAATAACATCTAAATTTTCTAATTTAATTAAAATCATGAAAAATACCAATTTTGTTTTTTGGTAAAGTTCACGTGAAATTCACGTGAGATGCATGTGAATCTCAATTCACGTGAAATTCACATGAAAATTTTCACGTGAGTTTTATGTATAAGCTCGTTTGAGGTGAATCTCACGTGAAATTTTTCATTTGAATTTCATGTGAGATTCATGTGAAATCATGTGAGCAAATTTTGCCTGTGTACTAGATAACTTGACAAGCATTTTTGACCATCGATTTGGATTTCAGCACACATATCAAAATTCTCAAAACTCTTGGCACAGAGAACAATGAATTAACTTCATATTTGAATGAGCCTTTCTGAGATTGGGTAAGGAGAGTTCAAAGGACAATAGCTTTTTGGTTTTTTTTACCCCTCGGAACATGCACAAAAAGACCCATGTAATTTAAATAGCATTGATCATGTTGGCATATGAAGTGACAAATGATTAATTTTGAACTTTCTGTCATGAATTTTTAGATTATTTCATAAATTTACTAGTTATCGCGTATTTTGTTCTCGCCCGTAATTCTGTCAAAAATTGAATACAAAAAGCTGCAACCTACGGCACAATTTATATTCAAAGTGTTTAAATTGTGAAAAGTTCTGCTATTTGTGTTTCCTGACATTAACCTGTACATTACGTATAGATGTTTGCAAAGAAATCAGCATATCAGTATTCCGGTCGCTTTCTTCTTATCACAAACATTGCAAAACATGCATTGAAAATGTGGAACTTAACCCTGTTGGCAGGTATTGGTAACATTTGTGTTACCAACATTGAGTGATTTTGGTACTGAAGCCATAAAATGCTATCACACTTGTGTGGTATTTGAAAAGGGTTGAAACGTTTACAAGGTAATATCTAAAACATTTGTATTTGAGATTCGGACAGTCATACGACGAATGGTGTCTCATTTTGGGACTCAACGGCCAATTCTATAATGTACCAATCCACGTCATGCTCTTGTATAGTCCATTAATGAATGAGTATACAATGGATTCCATATAAAGGAACTATAGAAGGGCGAACTTTGAAACTACAATGCACGAATTAAAGGCTGAATAGTTACGTATGCTCGTCTATTGTATCTTTTAAAACAAGTTTTAGTATATAACGCCTGATACATTAAAAACCCTAAGCAGCCCATGGACGCACGCATAGTGGACCCTGCTTGTACATTAATTCCCATTTGCCAAGCAAATTGGGAGACTATTTTGATATTTTGAAACATCTTGAATTTCCAGTAATTATAATTTTCTAAACGACTTCTATCACACCTATGTAATAAAAATAAATAGATATGTATATATGAAAATGTACAACAATTTGTTATATATACTATTGAAAACATACAATAGAATGGACAGATTCGTGTCCATAGTGTCGGGGAATTGTTCTGTGCTGTACGTTATTATCACAACCGGCGCTCTCAGCACGAGTTTGGCGGGGAAGGTGTTATCACATGCTCTCCTGTTGAGTTGCCTTGCTGTCAGTCCATCGATCTCTTGGTGTTACTAGTAACTGTAACCTGTACACGCATCGAAAAAAAAAACCAAGAAAACAATGTGTCGCAAAATGCCAAATAAAGCTTTCGAGGATGACAAAATCAGCGGAGGCGAATTTCCGGGGTTGCAAATTACCTTAACTGTATCAGTATTTTTATACATCTTGAAATGAGGAACATAATTATGAAATGTAAACTCAAAATCTCCGTGCACGGATATTGGCTACCTTTCTATCTTTATAATTGATGGAGCATAACATTGGTGCTGTTTAAAGGAGCAGAATAGAATAATGTAGTTATTAAATATTTTCAAAAAACTGATTTCACTGAGAATTTCATAGAGTGAACATAAGTATTTTTTAGTCCAAGAAGACTTCTTCGGGGTTTGCTAATTCTGCGGAAAATTAAATTTAACATTGTACCCCTAAAATGTAACTACATATATGAAAATGTCTCAGTTTCGAAACGAGCTATCATAGGTATCCAAGTTTCGATACGCACAAAGGATCTTTTTAACTATTATTGCCTACCTGAAATGAATTGCGCATACACAATAATAAGCATAGTAGCTATGATGAGCTTTTATCCCTGGATCGATAACACTGTAGGTGGAGGTTTCGTCCGCAAGGGTATCACCATCCCAGTAGCTAGCACTTTTTTGTTGACATGAAATATCATTGATATGTCCATTTTCTGTAAATTTACGTTTATAGTTTATAAAATGTTGAAATACTTGAAATACTAAGATTTTTTTAACCACAGGCATAGATTGTCTTAGTCGTATTTGCACAAATTTTCGGTTTTTAATGCTCTTTAACTTAGTCATAGATTTCACCTTCCAACTGTTTTGATTGAGTGCCACTGATGAGTTCTTATGAAAATGGTACGTCTTGTGTTCCAAATTAAAGCTTGGTCTCTTTGATGAGCTTTTATTGACCAAACTATTGTTACGAAGAAAAATTACAACTGCCACAACCTTTTTCAATATTGAGTAGCTTACTAAATTACTGCGCTTGTAAATGTGCTCCGTTGAAATCTTTTTTCAACCATTATTGTAATCCATAAGATTGTATTTAAAATTAGGTCTTACCACTCCGTGTCTTATTTTTTTAACAAACTACTATATATATATATATAAAAGTATAAATTGAAAACAACGTTCAAACCTATGATTGCGTTGGATAAAAACCGCAATTTTTATACGTGTGCATGCAAAACAAATTTCTTGTTAGAGGGGTCTATATACAGCACAAACAACATTTTCCAAAAGACCAAAAAAGTGAAAAAGTATATTTTAACAAAACGCATTTGACAAACAGGTCGAACAACAAATGTTCTTAAACCCTGTTGACTGCCATTGGCGATAGCCAAATAAACGGATCCCCGATGTAATAAATGGATCTTAATTATAAATTTATTACTAAACAGAAAACAATAAACATGCGGAAAAGATAGTATACCGCAAACAAAAGGTGCAAAGGTTTTTGTACACCATATCCGGATTTCGACAAGTAATGTCTCTTCAGTGATGTTAGGAATCGAAACGGTATTTGTAAAGTATATATATATATATATATACGTTAAACTGAAATCAACGTCAGGTCTCAAAGCGACTTCCGTTCCTCAATTTCAGTTTCATAAAGATCAAATGCGAAGCAACATATCGTAATTTTTCTGCTTACAGAATTTGTACCAGTTATTACAGCGAATCAGAAGGATATAGAGTAAGCTGTGGCATTTTTGGCTGGGACAGATGCAGAAGAACTCGGTAATTTTAAAATTAGCTTATGTTAATCAATTATATACTGATACTAGCCAATCTAGAAATAAATTCATTTCTGTAGTACTTCCTCGCCATAAGTCTGTATCGCAATATAGGTTAAAAGGAAGTAATTACAGATGACTGGAGCCACCTAGATTTTACACCCAAGATAATAGGTAGAAGTAAATGTATTTGCTGCTGCCCTGTTAATTAGAAAACAAGAATGAAATAGTGAGAAATGAGTGTTGGCCATTGGAGTAGAATTAGCGAGAAATTTGGAGGAAACTCTCTGTGACGAGAAACATTTTCTGTGGAAAATTAAGCAAGGGATGTTCTTCATTCATACTATTTCGAAAATTCCGGAACCGTTGAGTACCTTTAAAAAACGCCATTTTCTATCAAAAAGCAGCGGCAGCATATGTGTTTGGCAGTGTTATTCACACCAAAGGTGTTGATAATTCAGAATTTGAAAGTTTTATTTCTCCTCATCTTCGATTAAATTGAATGTATTGAGGCATATCTAAAAAAAAAAAAGGGGGAGGGGGCTTATTTTTGCTGACGTTAAGCGAATTTTTTGTATTTTTAATCGCCAAAATGTAACAAAATGTCCCTAAAATCATAAAATTAGGTAAAAAATCAAAGGCTATATATGTTTCTTCTTAGTACCGTCGAATCTAATATTCTGTATACGGTCCACATAAAACACATAACAGCAATGATAAATAGTTAATTTCAGCATTTCTATAGTCTATTTCATAAAGTTTTGTTACGCTCATGCAACTATTTTCATATATTCGTGACAAAAAGAAAAATAAATTGGACACAGTAATCAAATCATTGGCCTTAAGTCTTTAATAGGCCTAGATCGAACTTCATTAATCAAACACCTTGTTTTAAACCCAGCCAAACAGTCAAAATATGCTGGTCCATGTCCCCAAGTCTTTAAAAAGTAACGTTTTCTGCAAATGGGGATACCTGTAAAGAAATTCATTTTTTTATGAGAAGCAGTTGTATCTTTAATCAAAAAATTTGAACTTAAGCAGCATTGTTATAAAGTAATCGACTAATACAAAGGTTTTCCGATTTTATTTCAATATATGTCAGTATATACAAATTCTTATCACAAGTGAAAGAAACATAAAGCTCTGTTCCAGTAAGTCAAAAAGAAAAATGTCTGAATCTTGATCACTTTATCTTATCATATCGAAAAGTCTATCATCTTGTCAATGTCTTAATGTTGCACTTTGTAAATACAGCTGTTTCACAAACCACGCCTCTTTTAGGGAGATATATATACTATTCATAGATATTTTTTTTTTTACGTTTTGGTTTCCAGATATAATCTCTATGTTGCATCTCATAGAGACATAACTTGGAAATGTTACCAGTATAAATACACATACAACAAAATTATTTTCATTTACCTGTGTTTAAAGTTATTGCAAATGGATGGTATTTTTGTTCGAGCATATTGTTTTTCTTTAATTGTTTAACACTTCTTACCGATATAACATGTTACTTTTATTATTCTTCCCTTAGTTTATTTATTTTGTATTCAAAATTATTTATTTTGTAAAAATATTTCCTTTCTCTATTGGTACTGTACAGGTATACCTAACAACAAAATTATTTTCATTTACCTGTGTTTAAAGTTATTGCAAATGGATGGTATTTTTGTTCGAGCATATTGTTTTTCTTTAATTGTTTAACATTTCTTACCGATATAACATGTTACTTTTATTATTCTTCCCTTAGTTTATTTATTTTGTATTTACATTGTGTCATAGGTCAAATTTATTTGTTCAGTGTATGTTCAATGGTGTTAATATGTCCTTTGATTGAGTTAAGCTATTTCAGTTGATATTTTATAGTGTGTCTTTCTATGTTGTGATGTTACACTATTGTTTCAGGAAAAAGGGTGAAGGTTTGGTACCATTAAAACGTTTAAACCCGCTGCATTTGTTTGCACCTGTCCTAAGTCAGGAATCTGATGTTCAGTAGTTGTCGTTTGTTGATGTGGTTCATAAGTGTTTCTCGTTTCTCGTTTTTTATATAGATTAGACTGTTGGTTTTCCCGTTTGAATGGTTTTACACTAGTAATTTTTTGTGGCCCTTTATAGCTTACTGTTCGGTGTGAGCCAAGGCTCCGTGTTGAAGACCGTACTGTGTCCTATAATGGTTTACTTTTATAAATTTTGACTTGGATGGAGAGTTGTCTCATTGGCACTCATACCACATCTTCTTATATCTATGATTAGCGGCCAAATTGAATTCCGAGGAAGACCCAAACTGAAGGGAGGGGTAGTACAGACTTTTAGTATAAATTAAAACTCTTAAAAGTTCGGAGCATATAAATGTCGAAAATATGCTGTACAGCCCTGTGTTTTGACCTTCGAAAAAATAGTAGTGCAGATGAACTTTTCATTCTAAGATATATTTTTTTACGAAACTTGATATTAAAAGTGGCACAGTTTCAGCCGTAAAAGAAGTTCTTATGGGAATTGCATTGTCTATATTTATAGATTTTGTTTGTACTAACATGAGTAACACGACGGGTGACACATGTGGAGCAGGATCTGCTTACCCTTCCGGAGCACATGAGATCACTCCCAATTTTTGTGGGGTTCGTGTTGCTCAAACTTTAGTTTTCTATGTTGTGTGTTTTGTACTGTTGTTTGTCTGTTGGTCTGTTTCTTTTTTAACCATGGCGTTGTCTGTTTATTTTTGACTTTTGAGTTTGAATGTCCCTTTGGTATCTTTCGTCTCTCTTTATCAGAAGTGCAATCTTAACCTATCCCTGAGTTAAGCAAAACATATTTAAACACTGAAAATAATATACGTTTATAGAACAACAATCCACTTATGTACAGAACTTATATTTTAGAAAGGCGAATATTAAAAATGGAATTTTTACCATAAATACTTGCAATAACATAAATATTCATTAAAACATTCAAAAGAAGTTACATCTTCTCTTCCCATTACGTTTTTAAACATACTTGTATATGTTTTTTTTTATCATGGTCAATTATCAAATACCGACTTTGTTGTCTCGTGGTAGCGTGCCGATTTCAAGTGCAGGAGGTCGTGAGTCCGATCCCTGTTCGGATGAAACTAAAGACTTGAAAATTGGTATTTGCTGCTTCAAATGGCAATATAAAAAACTCAAACACTTAAGACGAATGGAAAACAACTTGTCATATTCCTTGGTACAGGCATTTCCTTATGTAGAAAGTGGTGGATTAAACCTGGTTTTATAGCTAACTAAACCTCTTACTTGTATGACAGCCACATAGAATTCCATTAAATTGACAACAATGTGTGAGCAAAACAAACAGACATAAGTAAAAATGTCAAAAATTAGGGTTAAGCAGTCAACCTTGTGTTTTAATCTTTATCACTATAAAAACAAACAACTATGTCAACAAATAACAATAAAATGGCACATAGACACTCTATAGACAAAGCACATAAGTAAAAATGATAGACAAGAGTACAAAAAATGACCAAAGCATAACAACACAATTACAAGATGAATTAACACCAAGCCATGCCAAAAATGGACTAAATAGTAAAGGTTAAAAATAAACAAAGACAAATAAAAAAAAACACTAGTTGTTAATTTTTGTGTGTTTTGGTCTCTTGTGGAGAGTTGTCTCATTGGCAATCATAACACATTGTCTAATTTTTATACTATTATACGTAATTAAGATGATAAACAACGTCAGCAACTAGGAATCTATACTTCAAGACCATCATGTAATATTTGTGAAGTTGATACAAAAATTAATCAACAAAGTCTGTGTATCTTCCGATTAACTTTGTTTTTAGAAAAAGACGAGACATTCTTTGGCATAACCCAGATTCATCAACTTTAAGCTCAGATACTGGTGACGTTTTATAAATTCTGAGTAGCAGCAGCAAGCTCTTGAATACCGAATGAGTTGGGAAATGTATATCAAAGTTGGTATATTGCTGCTAAGTTGGGGGAATTTATAATTTCAAAAGTAAAATCGTCTTGTTTGTCACAGATTTTGGTACTGAGATGATAGCTTATGTCAATGTCGAGATATAAGTCTAAAAAACTAGGCGGAGAAAGCCTTGTCTGTTGTTACTCTAATTTCTAGTTCTTAAGGATATATTAATGGAACCCAATCAGAAAAGTTTGGATAGTTAATGGAAAGAACATCATCAATATATCTGAACGTGAAATTAAATGATCTGGCTTCTTTGATCTTCGCCAGTGTTGTTTTTGACAAGTGTCTGAAGGAACTCCGACTCATATGAAATTAAAAAGATCTGCTATAAGAGGTGTACAGTTAATACCCACAAGAATTCCAATATTTTGGCGATATAAAATCTTGCCATAACGACCAAAACATTGTCAAGCAAAAAGGTAAACACCTTATAATCATGTCTCTACATACCCAGGAAACATTTCATAATGTTTGCAACCAAAGAAAGAATTTTATAATTACCACATATGCATTTCAGATTTAATTTTCAAAAGCCCATTTACATCGAATTCGTGTTATTTATTTTCAATCAAATATTTGATGGAGGAGTAGTGAATTCAGTAGAAAACTCATTACTCTCAACAAAGTCAATTTATAAAACGTTATAAATATAATTAATTTGTTTTTAATTTTAACCAATAATTGTATACCCCAAAATTAATTGAAGCCTGTATTTGATAGACAAAGTGATAAGCGTATCGTGTCCATAAGATTAGTAAAGTTGCAGGTTTTGGAGTTTTGGCAGACAATAACAGAAACAAAAATCAACAATATATAATTATTGAAATATTGAATAATGAGATTGTTAGTTGTTGTAGTGCACTAGTTCGAACTACAGATAATTCATTAGAAGTACACCTGTACTGTAGAAAACGATATAAAACGGGATTTATGTGTTAATGTAATTAAGGAAACTAGTAAACAAGTATAACAAAGTTACTGAACTCCAAGGCCAATTCAAAAAAAGGAAAGTCCATAAAACTGACAAAA